CACTTCTCAATTAAATATTATCATGTTTTTAGGGCATGAATCTGAATTGAACAACCTGATATTGTTCACTCTGGTTATTGTTTCCGTTTTTAAAAACGCTATATGTTGAGCCCCCTTAGCTAGATTTGGCATTGTGACATTTTTAGCAGCAATCATTGGCCGATTTTCTAACGTTGCCACTCGGGGAGTTGTAATGAGGCTTTTTTTGGTGCCGTGTAAGATAAATATATATATAGATAAGATTATATTACAATACAATTGTCAGCTACTGATCCAGTTGACCCGATACGGTGATAAAAGCTTTATCCCTCTGTGTTGAGGGATACCGATACTCATTAAAATTAATTAAAACAATCCTCATTGCCACCTACCAGAAGGAAACGAAAATTCCTAGACATTTTCTCTGAATTATGGAACTCTGATCTGAATTATGCACTCTGAACATTTCAAATATATTTTAAAATACACTATCCGGCCAAAAGTATCCGGACACCAAGTGGTATGGAATCTCGATGCACATATTAATATGACGTTGATCCCCCTTTTTGCATCTATGACACGTCTGGGAAGACGTTCCACCAGTTTTTGAATAGGACTTCTATCACAGCTGAAGTGAGTAGTGCTTTTTGTGAGGAAGGTCGATCAGACTGGATGCGTAATCTGAGCTCTGATTCGTCCCAAAGGTGTTCTCTGGGATTTACATCGGAGCTCTGAGAAGGCTAGCCCAGTTTTTGAACACCCATTTCGTCAAATCACGTCTGTGTAAGCCTCGATGTGTGAATGGAGCAATGATCCTGATGAAAGAGAAACAGACCGAAATATTGCTATAGAGTTTGGAGTGCAGCTTTATCTAGAATGTTCACATACCTCTCAGAATTCATGTTTCCAACCACAGGAACTAACGGACCCAGGCCAAACCACGATAAATACCCCCGAACCATTATGCTCCCACCACCATAACACCAGGTGTCTGGACACATTTGGCCAGATAGTGCAGCACTCAACTCAGGTATACTGTATGTTTCATTATCAGTTATCTTAGTTTTAATTTGTCCCTATTGCTTTGTAATAATGGATATTTTCACATTTAACAGTATCTGGAAATAGTGAGCAGAATCGGTGGTATCCTTGGGCTTTGGACTGGAATATCTTTTCTACAGTTGGCTGATTTAGTTGTCAGAATTTGCTTAGTTTTATTTTTAATTGCCACCTTTTCAAAAAGGGTAAATACCATATTATCTGTTTCTCTTTTTCTATGATTTTATTATCCACTTTATTGTAAGTCATTTTTCACCGAATATCGACCCAAAAATGACCAACGATTTGAAAAATCAAACAAAGAAAAACAGAAAGAGGCAGAAAGGAAATTATGTTCTGCTTAGTTTATAAAAAAATTTATTTCACACCTAATTTGAAAATCAGGATTTCGTCAACAGATAGCGTCACCTAACTATTAAAAGGTCACTAAACTAACACAAAAAAAAAGTTTCATTCCGCTGCTTTCAGTTTTGTCCTCAGTCTGCAATATGTTGCTGCAGTAAATAGAAGTTTCTTTGAATATATAGTTTTACTGATTTTCAAAGTTAACTGTTGAATCTATTAATGAACTTTGTAATCAATTTTGAAAGCTCATGAGAACGAATTGTTTGTTTTTTAATCAGATTGCAGTAAACTGTAGATTTGTGTATCCTTTTATATTTACACTGACTGATTTTTCGAATCACTCGTAATTTTTAAGGCAGTCTAAGACTTTGTTTTACCAAGTAAAGTTAGTCCGCTATTCATCTAAAGCCTTCATATAGTTCTACTCTTAAATAATTACGAGCCATAAGAAATTGCTTGTTTTTTTTAAAAAAAAATAAAGATCTTTCAGGCTTTTGAAGTTATTTAAAAAGTGAAAATAGACTTATAGACAAAGGTTCAGAAACACATTGCAGCAGATAATTCAAGAATAAGTTGTTGTTGTAGCGCACTATCTTGCAAAAAATATCCGAGCACTTAGTAGTATGAACTTAAAGCGTCTCGAAGCACATATTAATATGATGTTGCTCCACCTTTTGCATCGATGACAACCTGTACACGTCTGGGAAGACTTTCTACTTGTTTTTGATAGGTGGCCATGGGATTTGACTTCCATCACAGCTGAAGTGAGTGCTTGCAGTGAGGATGGTTGATTCGGCTGGTTACGTAATCTGAGCTTTAATTCATCCCAAAGGTATTTAGACCGGGGATCTGAGAAGACCAGTCCATTTTTTGAACACCCATTTTGTCAAACCACGTCTGTGGAATCCTCGATGAGTGTAAAGGGAGAAGTTATCCTGCAGAAAGAGAAATGGGCCTTCCCATTGATATATTGCTATGGAGATGGGAGTGCAGCATCGTCCAGAATGTCCACGTGCATTTCAGAGTTAATATTTCCTACCACAGGAGCTAACGGACCTTGGCCAAACCATGAGAAACACCCCCACACCATTATGCTTCCACTACCACCATGATCGAGTGTCTGGATACTTTTGGGAAGATAGTGTATATTTAAGTTGCACTAGAGCTACTCAATGGGCTATTGGCAACGATGTGGGAAGCATCCCTAAGTATTATCTGAAAATATGCCATCAGGACAACCTGCGCGCAAAATCAATCCCTTTACGGTGAAACAGTTTAACAAGGACCAATACCGCACACTGGCCGCAGAAAGTGATAATTGATTATGGTGATCTGCTCGTGTCTTAACAACCAGTCACTGTGGGACGATTAGGAATAAATTAACCAGATCGAATAAAACTTAGTATACAAATACATCAGAACGTGGACAAATAATGGCGAGGAAAAAGTAACTGATGAAGCTCATGAATTAATGGGCATTGCAGAAAGATAGTACAAAAATTAATATTGAGACACTACCCTAGTGGAATGTCTTCTACAGTTTATGACCCCTACGGACATCAGTGAAAATCTCTGAATAAACTCCCTTTTTGTATTGCTAACAATATTCATCAATACACTCTCCAAAAGCATCCGAACATCCAGGTGTTATGGTGGTGGAAGCATAATGGTGGGGGGTGTTTCTTGAGGTTTCACCTGGGTCCGTTAGTTCCTGTGGTTGAAAACATGAACTCTGACATGTATGTGGACATTTTGGACAATACTGCATTCCAAACTCTATGGCAATATTTCTGCCCATTTCCCTTCCAGCAGGATAACTGCGCCATTCACACATCGAGGCTTACACAGACAAGATTCGACAAAATGGGTGTTCAAACACTGAATTGGCCTTCCCAGAGCCCTGATCTAAATCCCATAGAATACCTTTGGGACGAATTAGAGCGCAGATTACGTAGCCAGTCAAATCAACCCTCCTCACTGCAAGCGCTCACTTCTGCTTTGATGGAAGACAATTCCTATGGCCACCTATCGAAAACCGGTGGAAAGTCTTTCCAGACGTGTGCAGGATGTTATCGATGCAAAAGAGGGTCCAACGTCATATTAATATGTACCTCAGAACACTCCAAGCCCATACCCCTGGGTGTCCGGTTACTTTTGGCCACTTAGTGTATGTTAGAATAGTAAATTTAAGGTCAGAAGCCAATGAATTCTTCATGAAGAGCGTTTTTAACCTTTGAAGGTGTCTTGGAGGATGTGGTGAGCTGCAATGACTCTGCCGAGAGCATCTCAGACATGCTCAAAGCCTGCTTATCTCATTTACTGAATGTATTCAGTGTCGTAGCTCAAACTCTTAATAATGATTCTCGACGCATTTAAATTTGAGAACTAGGGAACCAAAACTGTGTCACCAAATCACGGAAGTGGCCCAATGGGGGTACCAATACTGCCGTGAGTAAGAAAATCGACGTAAGTGACAAAAAAAATCAAAATTGAGATTTTTATATATAGAGCTGGCATTTTGGAACAATAAACCCTATATTGTCAAAAAAATTCAAAAATAAGTTTTATTTTCTCAGTCTTCTGAAAGTCTATTTTAGTGTTCATAGCATTAGCAATCGACAAAAAAATAGTAGTCATGACACTGATCTTGAAATGGAATCGTGTAGCACTTACATTGTTTTTTCAATTGCACTGCATAATAGAAACTATGGTGTGGAACGTCATGATTATCATCAACAACACAGACTTGCAAATGTTTTTACGGAAGCATTCAGAGTTCTTGAGAGTATTAAGTTTGGATCTTGGAGACTTTTGTAAGATTTTTCATATTAGCCAATTGTTCCTAGTTTGGTTGACAACTCGTCGCACTACAAAGCTGGTTAAGCAATTGTCTTGAAGATGAAAACATTTAGAGTATGCAGTTGAAAATCAGATATCTAGACCTGAATCTCATCATGTATGCCTAAAATGTTTTTGTAGCTTGAAGAACCCACTAGCACTTATCGAAGGGGTGGAATTTATTGTTCTAAGACAATAAATTTATATTTCTAAAACATTTCTTAACCTTATAAACATCGTAAGAACTAATTTTATGACCTGCATTGCCATAGGTGGAAAAATGTCCCACTTTTAAACCTACTTTAAGTACAATTCAATTTCTTCATCTTTTTTGGACTATCTTATGCCGTTGTTATATCTAATGCCACTTGCTAATACTAGCAAGCCTGTGTGGTGAAACCAAGCGAATTTAAGGTAGAGGATGAGCTTCTAGTTTTTCAGTGGCGCCATCTATGACCAAGAATGCACCACAAGAACCACGATGCAGCCCGTGTATATGATGGACCCATTCATACATCCATTCATTCATCCACAGATTGTAATTTTGATCTGAACCAGAGAACGATCAATCTCCAATTCAGTACCACAGAAATATTGATTTGTTATAGGAACATGGAGGACTTTGTGATTTGACAGATTCAACGTTCACCAGTCACCATTTGCTGCATGAGGAGTCTTTGACCAGCGGGGATCGAACTTACGACTTCTTGGACCCGGGGGCAACGCCCTATCAACCAGGCTATCCCGATATGGATTATCTTATAAAACCTCCAAAAAAAGTACCAATTTCTCATGCTATTACTTCTTTTTTTTAAATTTATTTCATCATCGTTTTTGCCATGCATGGCTGTATTTTAATTAAAAATTTTACTTGACATTTTGGTGTGGTGAGCGTTTTTGTCAGCTATCTATGATAAAGTGTTTGTTCCTTACTTTCGGATATTCTTTTTCCTTTCGAACTGGTTCATTGTATACGATGATTTTTTTTTTTAAATTTTAATTTTCGCTTTTACTGAATAGGGTAACTAATTTTATTTAAAAACTTTAATAATTTATACTGGAATTTATGAATAATTTTGTAAATTATTTATTTACATTACTGTACTTTAAGCTTGAAAAGAGTTTTAAACTTGGAAAAGAGTCGAAAAGAGAAAGTCACTGCAGATTTGTTTAACCATTTTAAAAGTATTTTATCCTTTTACAAATGAATTTGAAACTAAACTGTATTCTTTTTTCTTTAGAAAAGAAATAATACTCTTCAGTTATTTGAAAGTAGAACTCAACAGAAAAGAAAAGAAATTGAAGCGTCTCCAGCTGTGAAGATATTCAAGAGATCTTTTATTTCTTCCATAGCAGATTTAACATCGTCGAAGTCCGCGACAGAAAAATTCATAAAGCTATTGATATTTCTTTTGAATTTAATCGGATTTCTATGTTTTACTTATCACTTCGCATCACAATATCTTGCTTATGAAACTACTTCAATAGTAATGATGGAGAGGCCAATATACATAGATCGTCCAGCAATCACTCTGTGTGATTCAAATAGGTGAGTAATCTATGTATATGCGGCAAATTTATCCAAGTCCTGTTGGTTTCAGTACAATTCATGATGGTTCATTTGATGCTTACAGTCATCCAACATTTTCCATTATGCATTCATGGTTTTTGACATGCCAAACTTCTATCATTCCAATGATGAAAAATGCTACATTCATACTATGCTGGTTACCCATCAATACAAGTTCGACACTCATGGACCAACAATCCATGATGATCCGTGGTGGTCCATGATGGTTCCAACTAAACATTTTCATGATAGCTTAATGGGAATTCTTGTTGGCTCTCAGGAATATACCATCAAACATTTTTTTTTAATTTTTTTATGTTGGCTCACTATAAATCAGTCCGGATTCCTACATTGGGATGATGGTTGAACATGATCGTTCCAACTTTTGATTTATAAGATACAATGATGAAAGTTCGTGATGGTCCATAATGGTACAACAAGGCATTTTTAAGATGGTTAAATAATAATTAGTGTTGGTTCATCAAGAATATACCAACAAATTTTTTTTTAATTTTTTTATGTTGGCCCATTATATATCAGTCCGAATTCCTACATTAGGATGATGGTTGATCATGATCGTTCCAACATTTGATTTATAAGATACAATGATGAAAATCCGTGATTGTCTATAATGGTACAACAATGCATTTTGAAGATGGTTTAATAATAATTACTGTTGGTTCATCAAGAATATACCAACAATTTTTTTATTATTTTTTTATGTTGGTCCATTATAAATCAGTCCGAATTCCTACATTGGGATGATGGTGGATCATGATCGTTCCAACATTTGATTTATAAGATACAATGATGAAAATTCGTGATGGTTCATAATGGTACAAAAATGCATTTTTAAGAGGGTCTAATAATAATTAGTGTTGGTTCCTCAAGAATATACCATCAAAACAATTTTTTTTATTTCGTTATGTTGGCCCATTATATATCAGTCCGAATTCCAACATTAGGATGATGGTTAATCATGATCGTTCCAACATTTGATTTATAAGATACAATGATGAAAATCCGTGATTGTCTATAATGGTACAACAATGCATTTTGAAGATGGTTTAATAATAATTACTGTTGGTTCATCAAGAATATACCAACAAATTTTTTTTTATTTTTTTATGTTGGTCCATTATAAATCAGTCCGAATTCCTACATTGGGATGATGGTTGATCATGATCGTTCCAACTTTTGATTTATAAGATACAATGATGAAAATTCGTGATGGTCCATAATGGTACAACAATGCATTTTGAAGATGGTTAAATAATAATTAGTGTTGGTTCATCAAGAATATACCAAAAAATTTTTTTAAAATTTTTTTATGTTGGCCCATTATAAATCAGTCCGAATTCCTACATTGGGATGAAGGTTGATCATGATCGTTCCAAATTTTGATTTATAAGATACAATGATGAAAATTCGTGATGGTCCATAATGGTACAACAATGCATTTTGAAGATGGTTTAATAATAATTACTGTTGGTTCATCAAGAATAAACCAACAAATTTTTTTTTATTTTTTTATGTTGGTCCATTATAAATCAGTCCGAATTCCTACATTGGGATGATGGTTGATCATGATCGTTCCAACTTTTGNATACCAACAAATTTTTTTTTAAATTTTTTATGTTGGCCCATTATAAATCAGTCCGAATTCCTATATTGGGATGATGGTTGATCATGATCGTTCCAAGTTTTGATTTATAAGATACAATGATGAAAATTCGTGATGGTCCATAATAGTACAACAATGCATTTTTATGATGGTTTAATAATAATTATTGTTGGTTCATCAAGAATATAAAAACAAAAATTTTTATTTTTATTTTTTATGTTGGCCCATTATAAATCAGTCCGAATTCCTACATTGGGATGATGGTTGATCATGATCGTTCCAACTTTTGATTTATAAGATACAATGATGAAAATTCGTGATGGTCCATAATGGTACAACAATGCATTTTGAAGATGGTTTAATAATAATTACTGTTGGTTCATCAAGAATATGCCAACAAATTTTTTTTTCATGTTGGCCCATTATAAATCAGTCCGAATTCCTACATTGGGATGATGGTTGATCATGATCGTTCCAACTTTTGATTTGTAAGATACAATGATGAAAATTCGTGATGGTCCATAATGGTACAACAATGCATTTTGAAGATGGTTTAATAATAATTAGTGTTGGTTCATCAAGAATATGCCATCAAAAAATTTTTTTAAATTTTTTTATGATTGCCCATTATAAATCAGTCCGGATTCCTACATTGGAATGATGGTTGATCATGATCGTTCCAACATTTGATTTATAAGATACAATGATGGAAATTCGTGATGGTCCATAATGGTACAAAAATGCATTTTTAAGGGGGTCTAATAATAATTAGTGTTGGTTCATTAAGAATATACCTTCAAAACAATTTTTTCTATTTTTTTATGTTGGCCCATTATAAATCAGTCCGGATTCCTACGTTGGGATGATGGTTGATCATGATCGTTCCAACATTTGATTTATAAGATACAATGATGAAAATTCGTGATGGTCCATAATGGTACAAAGATGCATTTTTAATGGGGCTAATAATAATTAGTGTTGATTCATCAAGAATATGCCCTCAAAACAATTTTTTTAAATTTTTTTATGATTGCCCATTATAAATCAGTCCGGATTCCTACATTAGGATGATGGTTGATCATGATCGTTCCAACATTTGATTTATAAGATACAATGATGAAAATTCGTGATGGTCCATAATGGTACAACAATGCATTTTTAAGATGGTTTAATAATAATTAGTGTTGGTTCATCAAGAATATACCATCAAAATAATTTTTTTTTATGTTGGCCCATCAAAAATCGGTCCGAATTACTAGATTGGGATGATGGTGGGTCACGATCATTCCAACATTTGATTTCCTTGGAACTATGATGGTAATTTCTGGTGGTTCAACATGAACAAACTATCAAAACAAGTTGCTTTTCTTATGCTATTCAACATTATTTTTCTCATACGTTAATGAATATCGGATATTGATTGCAGTTTTAATTTCGCGACTGTACTATTCTTTAAAAAGAAAATAATTCTCTTAAACTTTTTGCACGTGAGTTTATATGTTTATAATTCATGATTTTCTTTGAAGACGAAACAGAAAACTAGTTTGTGAAGAACAGCCACATAAATGCAAATTCTTCAAATCTGAGGAAGAGTTTTGCAACAAGCACCCCAACTATTGTAACCTGGAAGACCTGTATTTGGGAGTAAGTCTTACACATGCTCTTCTTTTTACAAATGTATTTGCATTGCCAAAAGTCTAATGCATCATATTTTAAGTATAAAATATTCAAATTGAAAAATTACAGTGTAAGAATTTTAATACATCAGACGCAAAGTATACCTTTTAAAGCGTGGATTGCATAAAATTTATCATATTAAATTTGAAGAATATTTAAACAAGGTTTATTTTGAAAAACGTGTAATGAATCAAGTATCAAGTAATCATGTTAAAATTTACATTGTAAAAAGTGGAATGCATAAGATTTGTAGTATGAGGTATTCGAATTAATATTGCAGGAAGATTAATACATGAAATCAATACGTATGAAGTATTTAAATTTTTTTTGTAACCGTCCTTTAACAGCCGACTTAATATTGAGACTACAAATGTTCAACCGTGTAGCATTCTAATTTTGTACGTAACCCAGAAGACATGTGATCCCGTGGATCAAATATTGAAGGAAATTTTGCTTTTGTTTAGAACTTTTTGATGGAACCTAATTCTCATGTGTGTTACATGTAGAAGAAAAACACAACAATCTCCCATGTTTAGCCTGACGGCAAGGAGACTCTAACCCATAATCCGTCTACCACTGAGGATATTTTACGTCAGCACTGCGGTTGCTGCAAGCCGGGGACAGAATTCATATCGACTTACCATCGTTAGGATTCGAACTCGATTCACCTTATTAGGGGGTAAGTGCTCTATCCATAAGTGTTTAGATTTAACTTATCCCTTTAAAGTATGTCAGAGCTTGAAATTTGATATTAACTTGAAATAACATATAATCTTCGGAGTTTTCCCACACAAAATTTGTATTGGTTTTACGCCACAATTTTTACAGCGTAAGGCATCTTTTCGTACTATATTCTTTACACCTAGTTGCATCAATTCGTTATTCATAAGATTTGTGTGAATTAATTTATGGCATGATATGAAATATATTATCTGTAACAGAAAATAATATCAATAGTTTGAAATTTTGTTTTAATTTTTAGGTTTTTAAAGAAAATCCTGTGTGCCAAGATGATTGCTATAGCTGGCAAAGAACACTACACGAATATAAAAACGTTATAACTAAAATTCACGAAAACAGTTTAACCAAACCTTATGAGCCAAGGTAAAGATAGTTTTACGAGTAAAAAATATTAGATAATGTTTTTAAGACCCAAGAAAAATTTTTTTTTTCATAATCTTTAATAGAAAAATAATAAAAGCTTCTTCTACTCTGCTCTGCTCTGTTTCTCTTTCCCTGTTTCTATTTCTGTGCTTTGCTTCTCCTTCTCTTCACTGCTTCTTCTTCTCTTCTCAGATTCTTAATTCCTCTACTTCTTCTTCTCTTCTTTGCTTTTTCTCCGCTTCTCTGCTTCATCTTATCTGCTCCGCTTCTTCTTCTCTGCTCTGCTTCCTGTTCTTTTCTCTGCTTCCTGTTCTCTGCTTCTTCTTCTCTTCTCTGCTTCTTCTTCTCTTCTCTGCTTCTTCTTTTCTGTTCTGCTTCTTCTTTTCTGCTCTGCTTCTTCTGTTCTCTGCTTCTTCTTCAGACCTCTGTTTCTTCTTTTCTTAGTACTAAATACATTGAAGATTATATAATTGGTTACCGGTGGCCCGTAGCTGAACTCTTTACCTATGACAACATTTCGCATGTTTTCAGTAATAACGTATGGATGTATCGTAGGAGATAGAAAATTCGCCAGTCTTGGTCTCAATTCTCAAACTATATAATTTTTTTAAGCTTAAAAAATATATGTAACTCAAAATTGCATTTAAAGATACAGATAGCTATTAATGATACATTATAAGAACATTATAAGTAGATGTATAGATACAGACATCTTTCGTTAAATTCCTCTTACATGTAAAAGTTATTAACAATTAAGGTTTTTAATGAATAATTGGTGTTGTTCCAAAGTGCAATCTACCCGTGTAGATACTTTAATAATCAATAGGCGGCCATGCTATAGTATAGTATGGTAGAAAAATCTGAAAATTTTTTTGACAGTGATGTTAAGTGTTGGTAAATAATAATTACAACTAAAAAAATTGTATTGTGCTGAACTAAAATAGCCACAGCCTACAATTGTAATCTAAAAATAAATAATAATAATACTTAAATTTGGTTTCATTGAAAGATTGTTTGATTGTTCTCAAATTTTATTTTTTTGAGTTTAAATTGAAACAACTTTAAGAAATTCTTTAACTGGTTTTTAAGACAGCCTTTACAAAAAAGTGATAATTCTAAAATATTTCCGTTCAATTATATGTTAAATATTGAAAACTGACGATTTTTTTAGGGCATTTATTCTTTTAAATTAATAATTAGTTGTTGGAAGTTTTGGATTTTAAAAAAGTAATAACTTTAAAATTGAAGTTTTGGAAAATTATTTGGGGAAGGGGCACGTACTCCCTGACCCACCCGACGTCACATCTATACCAATTAGTGAAGTTATTTTGCTCGCTGAAATTTTTATGATTCTCCTTTTTAAAAAACACGGATTTCAGTTATATCTATTTTCATAAGAGCGCTAGGTAAAAATACGAAGTGCACCAACGATTTTTACGTTTTCGTTATTGAACCAGTTCTCCAGCTACAATCTTAGAAGTTCATGTTGGCATGTGTTTAACATTTATTTTTGTTCCTTTTTAAGACTGTTTAACCTGGTGTCATTTATCAACAACGAGGGAGAACCAGCAATTTGTATGACATATGGACTAAAACATCGTCTGTTATTTTGGACAGATTTCAATCGAACCATTACTCTGAGAAATATACATAAGACTATTGGGAAAAACGAGACTACTGTTCATAGTATGAAAGGTAAGCAAGCAAATTTATATCTCCTAAATATTGAAAGGGTTTACTTTGAGTTAGAAACATGCCCAACAGCACAAATAAATGCCTAAAAATACACAAATAACAAGCTTTCTAAAACAGGAAGAAATTTAGAAAACTTCTGATGTATCCTACTACTTATATTATGCTTAAGAGGCACTATTTAAACAGGCATAATAATATAGAAAGTTTTTGAATGCGATTTGTGTTTAAATTAACACGAAATTTTACCATTCATAAGAGTTTCTTGTAATTTATAAATTCTAACTGGTTGTGTGTCTAAAACAAATTGAAGAATATCACAACGTGAATAAAGGTTTGCCATGTTTTGAATATTATCCTTTATTTGGCTATACTTGTGTAAAATGTCAACCTTAGTTTTTACTAACGGTGGTTAGCATGCTTGCGTAGTCTTCTAAAATCATGTGCAAATTTCGTTGAAATTTAAATTGAAAGAACGTGTTATATTGTATACATTGCAAGTATGAAAAGAATATTTATATTATTTGAATTCAAGTTTTAACAGCAAAAATCAATCGGAATTTCAACCTCTAGAGCCATCTGTTCTTATCATTACACGGTCTCATCTATAGTTAAGGTTCTATAAATGTACCCCTCTCTGGTAAACAACTTCTTTCCTTATTGCAATATGTTCGACTTCGTTACGTTCTCCGGTCATTTTGTGTTTTGACACTCTTATTTGTTATATAGTATGTACATTTCTTAGCTCTTATTGGAAATCTTTTGCTTTATTTATTTGTATATCTACTATAATTTTTAGAACCTTTCCAATTTGTTTTAGATACCAAAATCGTACTTACTTTATTCAGTATTTAAAAAAAAAAAGTTTGAGGCACCTTGAAACATTCTTTTTTTAAAGCAAAAATAGTGCTTTAAATAATTATTTAAAATACGTATTTCATTGAATTGGAAAAATAAAATATTTTGGCACTTATCAGTTAATTTTGTTGTAGTTCATTTACGTCGCACTAGAGCTGCACTATGGGCTATTGGCGACTGTCTGGGAAACATCCCTGAGGATGATCCGTAGACATGCCATCACAATTTTGATCCTCTGCAGAGGGGAGGGCACCCCCGCTTCGGTAGCCCGACGACCTGCACGCGAAGTCGAGCACTTTGCGGTAGCACAGTTTAACGAGGACCAATACCGCACACCTTTGGTCCCTACGCAGACTGATCCAAGTGGTCACCCACCCGCACACAGACCGCAGCCGGTGATGCTTGACTTCGGTGATCTGCTGGGAACCGTGTCTTAACGATCAGTCCACTGCGGAACACTTATCAGTTAAAGTGACCATGGATCACCAACTAGCAGGAATGAACCCAGATTCTGGTTTACAAAGGTCATCGACTACCGGTAATAATACCGTAAGTGTATCAAATATTACCATATCTTTATAACTAATGATAACAATACGCAACGTATATAATAATATCTACATAATAATAAATAGCTGTAAATATTGTATATTGGTGACTATCATTATTGATAACTTAACAAATAAAAAAGATAATATTGGAACTATTATACATAACGATGATTACTCAATGCGATTTGATAAATTTTACTTGCGTATTGACAGATGTAAAAATTATATTATTTAAATAAATTGCAAAAACATTGCTATATAATGCTAAATATCGATATTTTTTGACTTTGTATAGCGATATTAAAATTCTTACTTATTGATTATGGGGAACAATATTCTTGCCCCCGGAGAAGCTGTTGCTAACACTTGGTTCCTATAACCGATAAGTACCTACATTTTCTTGTAACTTTTATAATAACTGGAGAAAAAAAACTGGAACTACTTTTAAAGGACAAAAAAAAATCAAAGCAATATACAGCTAAATGCGCTTTGTCTTCATAAATTCATTTTTTCTCTCTATAACTTCTAAAGGCAGATTACAAAGACAACTGTAGATAAAACAAATGAAAAACAGAAAAAAAAACATCAAAATAATAAATAAATAAAATAAACTTAATTTAAGAAATAATTGAATCCCAGTGTATTTTCTAGAGCACTCGGTTCATTAAAATTTTCGACGAATGATGAAATCTTTAAAAAATCATTTCTTTTCAGGTCCTCGTGGCACATAATTTTTTGTCAAATCCAATCGTTTACAGCAGGGGTTTCCAACTTACATGGGGCCCGGGGCCGCAATTGAAAACACCAGCAAATGGCGGGCCGCATCTTTATCAAAATTTTATATAGGACTCTTTTATGTTTGTAGGACAATTAAATATTACAGTCAGATTTTTATCAAAATTTTTTAATATGAAAAAAAAATAACAAACATTAAATATAACGCTTGTTACGTATTTTGAATCTTCTCTTAATCAGAAACTTAGTGACAAGATTTTTTTTTTTTCAAGTTTAATTCTATGACAAATTGAAAATTTTTTCGACTTATTAAGAATTATAGCAACAACAGAAAATTCTGAAAAAAAGCATCGGAAATTAATTTTTTTTTCTTTTCCGCACATGCGATATTCAATTTAAGGAATTTAAATAAAACATGATATTCATTCCCTCTTTTGTGCGTTTTATAGTTTACAAATGTTAATAATTTCGTCCAAAATGAGTAGTTTCAAAAAGTTGAATGGCAGAATTTCTTCGAGAAAATTTTTAATACGAGAATGCTGAATTATATTCACAAAATACAAAAAGACGAAATGAAAAAGAACAACATACACAATTATTTTTGTATTTAAATAAATATTTTCTTGGGTGTAAAACCTGAGAAATAATTTTTTTTGCATCGTTGGTTTGTTAAATTTTACAGAAACGAAGAAATCAGGTTTTCTTAAGCGAAAGAAAATTATTTTAAATCCATATAGATTTTTTAAGAAGATTGTTCCCAAAAAAACGACAACTAATATATTTTAGTTCGCGGTCCACCAAAAAAAAGGCTTCGTGGGCCGGATGCGGCCCCCGGGCAGCCAGTTGGAAGCCACTGGTTTACATAAAAGAAAGATAAAAATTTAAAAAATCGTTTCTTTTCAGGTGCCCGAAGCACATAATTTTTTGTCAAATCCAAAGTCAAATGCCAAAAAATAAAATAATTTTGATAAAACTATAGGTTACAACCAGTTGTGAGATAAGCTTAAAGGTTAATTCAAACATCAAAATGTTTCCTAAAAATGTTTTTAGCAAGGCAAAAATTTCCATATTATATCATCTAGCAATTTTTGAATTATTAGAGCACGCTAGATTGAAAATTGAAATTAAATTTTTCTGAAATTTTTAATGATTAGCCAGCTCATATATATATATATATATATGTATATATATATATATATANCACATGGAAACTCAGCTCTACATTCCATATTGTAGATTTTAAAAAATATCATAATTATTATTTTAAACTGCAAGCAAATAATAGTTATAATTGATTTGTAACCCAAAAAATGTCATCTCGCATGATATATTTTATTCAAAAATAATATATATTTTAATGAAGAAAAAAACACATTTTGTGAAAGAAACGATAGGAAATTTTTCAGGAATCATTTTTTAATCAAAAATGTGCAATTTTATTACAAAAATATTTTAAATCATTCTTGAAAGATTTCGGTACGTGTGAGTTTATTTGATTTCGCTACTCGCTTTATAGATTTCCTTTTGTGTTTTGTTCTGTATTCTCTGTTTTTTGTTTGATATGTTTCATTTCGTATATATTTTTTACTAAATCAATTTTCATTTCAATTTTTTAATACTCCTAACACTTCTGTATTGATATATATTGCTTTGGTTACATTGATACAATATTAGAAAGCACTTCTATTTGCAGATATAGTCGCGGGAGCTGATGAAGAGATCATATCTCCTAACATTTTTTTTGTTTTCCGGCTTTTTATAATCTATGCTTTTTTGTTTCGCAGATATCGTCTTTTGGTTGAACGTATATTCGGATGAATATATTGATCCTAGAGCTGAACCGGCCGTTTATTTTTCAGTGCACGATTCCAGAAGACTCGTGAATCCTTTCAGACACGGTATTAAGCTTATAGCGCCAGGATATCATTCTATCAAAGTCACCGAATATGTGAGTATTGCTTACGAAATACAAAGAGTAATCACGAAACTACTGTCGTGCAATCACGAGATCATCCCCTCCCTACAATAAAAGAAACGAGATTGAGAGTTTATCTTGCGATTGGTTATGTGCAGATTATTCAAAAGATGGGCCAGGATCTTTCCCTCAGTCTTTGCATTTTTGTTGACCCTGTTAAAGTTTTTGGCAAGCAAATGCTATACCAGCTCTCTGTCATGGCCTTAAAAAAACAGGGATCCTCGTGGTAGGAGTTCAACTGATTTTCAGCCAAATCTTCCCTTTTTATCTACAAATTAATTCAAGGCAGCTATTATAAATTTGTAGAGAAAGTAAAACATATAAGGGGCAAGAATCACTTGAATCATATGACACAACAGGAGCTTCCTCATCATAAACAGGCTGTTTGGCTGTTCTTTTATTCCTGCCAAGTTTACGAATTGCACAAAGGCACACGCCAGATCATTAAGTTTGATAAAATATTTAATTCTAGATCTATTTGAAAACAACTTTTGACAATAATCATTAGGAAAGGTGCAAATAACATGAACTAGGGTTCTACTGCCCTAGCTTTCTAACCCCTAGCGGTGTAAGAGGACATTTCAGGTTAAGGGTCACTAAGAAAATCTCAATCTTTATGAAATATCCTGCCTTCCTTCCAAGTTTTTGACCACTGTGATGAATTAGCATGCTGATCAGAAGATATTGATAATATCTCATTATATTTTAAATTATAATTTTTTATTATTAGTTTCGCATAATAAAATATCTGAATAAGGAACTGGATGAATTCTAAACAAGAAACTCCTTCTAACTATATTATAGGATTGAAGAAAAGTGTTTTCGCCTCTCTATTTTCACTTATCTACTACCATCTACTTAAATAAATCTGCAGTGTTTAAACGTGAAGTAAGCACTCGCTAATTTACAATCCAGCTGCATTTAACGACTCTCTCTCTTATTTACAGATTACCTGATAATGAGATCCGCGATGTCTCAGAGCATTCGCCTTCCAATGAGGGGAACCTGGTTCGAACCCCAGAGATGGCTTGTCGCTAAGAAATCCGCATTCGGCTTACACTAATCACAGTGCTGACGTAAAATATCCTCAGGGGTAGACGGATCATGGGTTAGAGTCCCCTTGTCGCCAGGCTAACAGTGAGAGGTCCTCGTGGTTCTCCTCACCGTGTAACGCAAATGCGGGTTAGTTGCATCGAAAAGTCCTCCATGAAGGCTAAATTTTCCCCAATATTTGGTCCAAGAGGGCTCTTGTCTTCTGGATTGGGTTCCAAACTACAAGGCTACGGAGTTGAATGAATTGACTATTGGTTGATTGCCAACGAGTAGTCTTACGCGGGTTAGTTCCATCAAAAAGCGGGTTAGTTCCACTAAGACCAATTTCTTCCCAATGCTCGATCCGGGAGTTCCCTTGTCTTCTTGATTGGGTTCCAAACTACAAGGCTACAGAGTTGAATGAATTGACTATAGGTTGATTGCCAACGAGTAGTCTTACGCGGGTTAGTTCCATCAAAAAGCGGGTTAGTTCCACTAAGACCAATTTCTCCCCAATGCTCGATCCGGGAGTTCCCTTGTCTTCTGGATTGGGTTCTAAATTAGAAGTTAACAGAGTTGAACATTGGTAGTCGTAAACCCAAAATTGGGTCAGCTGTTCAATGACGGTTATAAAATAAAATAATTATTACCTAAACTAAAAAAAAAAGAAATTTAATTTAAGAAAGTACCAAAGAGGGGGACTACCTAAATAAAAATAATTCTAATCAATTTTTCAATTTTTGATAACATTTCGAAACTCAAACAACCGCAATGTGTAAAAAAGCTTTAGATTAAATCACAAATGTTTTACTTTTACTAAACTGTAGCACTTCTTTATGTCAGAAAGGACTTGCCGTTTCAGGTATTATTCCTCATTTTTCTGAACGTAAGTTTTATTAAAGTAAATGAACAGTCAGAAAAATGTTTCAGTTTGCGGCTACTAACCTTCAATTCCACTGACTTTTAATTTTGAATATGATGCAGAAGACGAGGGAGAACCCAAATCAAGTATTAAAAGAAATTTGCCTTAGTGAAGGACTTTTTGATGACACTAAGCCACTTTCGCGTTACATGGAGAGGAAAACCCCGAAAACCACCCACTTTTATCCTGACGGTAAGGAGACTCTAATCCATGATTCGTTGACAATGAGGATATTTTACGTTAGCACAGTGGTCGGTGCAAGCTGTGTGCGTAATTCATTTCGATTCGAACCACATTGGGAGGTGAGTGTTCTATTCCCTGAGCTATCACAGCTCCCGTGAGTAAGTTTGAAGTAACTACGCATATCCATTAACTATTTTAATTTAATTAACTATTTCAATATTTTTTTCATGTTAATAGTGCGCAGTTCATCGATGCCGGCTGAGGCGCAGTTGCTGATAGTCCACGTATAATATGGAAAGTCTCCAGCGAACAAGAGCAAATCATAAAACAGCTTACTTAAATAAGGGTTTGGAGGTAAAGAGCGGAGGCCTGACCGCAAAATTAATAGCGGATATCTTTTGTCTAACACCCCTGACAGTTAATCGACTTTTCTGCTTCCGCATTCACAACTGGTGTTTAAACCGGTTACTTTTTACACGTAATCGCTGATTTATCAGTGCATCGAAATTTTCATAGGGTAGTGGGCGGAATGTAATTTATGAAATTCTTTAACCCCTTCCTTCTCGCTCCATGAAAATGACGGGGGGAGGTTTCGCCCTCTATTTCTCACTCCCGTGATATTTACGGGCTGGAGTGTTCAGTAGTAACGTGCCACTAAGAATAAAACTAATTAATTTCTTTTGCCCGGAAAACATTTTATTTCTCATTTTACACACTAGATGGCAGTACCACCAGGATATTTTTAAGGTAATTGTAGATAGTTAGTTAAGTTCAAACTAGGTGTCATCACTAATCAAATACGTGTATTTGGCAAAATAGGCACTTTTATGACCGTTTTCTTGAAAATTAACTGATCCTTAAGGGGTTAAGTAAATTTATGAAATTTCTTTACATAATAATTAAACATTTATCAACATATGGCTAAAAAGGGGCCTCACTTTATTTAATTACCCGTTCGAAACCGCTTTTTTTTAATGGCCACCAGGTGTTATATGGTTATTGTGCAAATCGTGGGTTTGTCTCGTTAACTCGTTTGTCGTTGTATCTTTGGGGTAAAATTTATAATACGCCTACTGATTAAAGGGTATTCGCATATTTCTAGTTTTACCTTTACATATGCTAAGGTCGAACAGGAATGATGCCTCCTCTAACAGTAAAACTTCACATCAAAGTTAGCAAAATAGACAAATTAAAGTGAATTATCCGAATTGTATAGATGGTACTGACCCGAGGCAAGCTGTAGTAGAGAGTTTTTATCCTTTTCTCTAATTTCATTGGAGGATGAAAAACATGAGCATTGAAGTAACAGAATATCAAGAAAAGGAAGGAAGAACAGCGGAATGTCGAGAGAAAGCAAGGGAGAAATATTCATTCCTCGTAAAAGTGGTTGTCACGATCAAAAAAAAAAAGGAGAACGGATGATGATGATACACTATCCGGCCAAAAGTATCCGGACACTCGGTTTTTATGGTGGTGGAAGGATAATGGTGTGGGGGTGTTTCTTGTGATTCGGTCTAAGTCCGTTAGTTCCTGTGGTTAGACTCTGAGATGTATATGGACATTCTGGACAATGCTGCACTCCCAACTCTATGGCAACATTTCAGCCCATTTCTATTCCAGCAGGATAGCTTTTCCATTCACACATCGAGGCTTGCACAGACGGGATTTGACGAAATGGGTGTTCAAAAACTGGACTGACTCTCTCATAGCCCCGATCTAAATCCTATAGAGCATCTTTGGGACGAATTAGAGTTCAGATTACGTAGCCAGCCAAAACGACCCTCCTCACTGCAAGTACTCACTTCAGCTGTGATAGAAGTCTGGAAGTTAATTCCTATGGTCACCCATCAAAAACTGGTGGAAAGTCTTCCCAGACGTGTGCGGGCTGTCATCGATGCTAAAGGGGACCAACATCAAATGAATATATGCCTCCGGATGTTGTCCATATTTAGTGCTATTGCAATTAGAGTGTTACATACTGGGTACCTAACGCATATTTTGCTCCTTTACTCCCCAAGTCAAAGTTCTTGATGGTATGTGTTGGTTTCAGCGCAATTCATACTGGTCCAACAACATTTGATGGTCATCATTCTCCAACATTTACAATTATGCGTTCATGATTTTTGATATGCCAAACAACTTCCATCATTCCGTGATGGAAAATGCTACTTAAATACAATATTATGCTTAATCATGAAGAGAATTTTGATTCTCATAGACCAACAAGCGATAATAATCCATGATGATTCATGAGGATTCCAACTATACATTTCCATGATGGTTTAATGGGAAATCTTGTTGGTTCTCAGGAATAAACAATCAGAAAAATTTGCTTGTTTCTTCGTGTTGACCCATCATAAATCTGTAAATTCCTACATTGGGGTGATGGTGGCTCATGACCGTTTCAACATTTGATTTTTAAGAAACTATGATGGAAAGTTCTGATGGTTCAACAGGAATGAATCATCAAAACAAGTTGGACCATCATAAATCAGTTCGAATACCGAGATTGGGGTAATGGTTATCATCAAGATTATTTTGGTATATTAATAGAAAACCATCAAAAAATTTGACTTGGATCCAGTGCCTATTGTAAAATTGAATTCCACCCGGTCGTAAAATCTGTTTCATTCACTTCCGTGCAACCAATATTATTTTCAAAATGCTGACTTTTATTTATTGATTTTTAAGAAACTATGATGGAAAGTTCTGATGGTTCAACAGGAATGAATCATCAAAACAAGTTGGACCATCATAAATCAGTTCGAATACCGAGATTGGGGTAATGGTTATCATCAAGATTATTTTGGTATATTAATAGAAAACCATCAAAAAATTTGACTTGGATCCAGTGCCTATTGTAAAATTGAATTCCTCCCGGTCGTAAAATCTGTTTCATTCACTTCCGTGCAACCAATATTATTTTCAAAATGTTGACTTTATTTTTTCATAGGTGGAGCAGCATCTCTTACCCCAACCTTATGATACAAATTGCACATTGTTTAATCCTATAGGAAGTACAGAAGAAAACGTTGACATAATGGTATGGCCCTCATTTATTGTATTGTAGTACTGAAGTGTGTACCTTGTTTTATGTATAGTAGTATGTATGTATAGTATTATGTATAGTATTATGTATGTCTGCTATGTTTTATTGTATATCGATTTCTCCCATGAGAAACTACAGAGTAGAGAAATTATTAATTTCAAGTTATTGAAAAATTAACCCTTTCTTACTCTGTTTTCGCGATACTGTTACGCTCTTTCTTACTCTGTTGCGCTCGAATACGCTATTTAGGGAGAAGATCGATTCCATGGCTTAACATTCCTCCTTTTTCTCTTCTCAATTGTATAAGAATGTGCTACGATATTCGCACTGAAATCAACAAAAGCCATCAAAATATTTTGATGGGACCATCGAGAATTTCGACTTGGGTACAACGACCACTAGCATGCTATCACGTAGCATCCCCGTCTTCAGAGGTCTTTTTTAATCACGAGATGACGCTTTTTGAGATTGCTGCCACGGTTGTGACATTTTGACCTGCTTCCAATAGTCTAACATCTCGTCCACGATTGTAAGAACTCAAATGATATCTTGTTAAAAATTTGTACTTAATTATAGCAACAACACACTGAATTTTACAGAAATAAGTTCAACAACCTATAGTGCTATTTTGATCAAATTCCTGACATGAATTTTCGAATGAATGAAGAGGTAATGTGCACTACCTTTAAACAGATAAAGGATACTGCTCTACCACGCCCTCTACGTTTGGTCTTTCTTTTATTGGTAGGCTGTTAAGAACGTCACTTTGCATAAATCAGTTGTTCCTTAGCAATTGACAAGCAGTGTACACACAAACACACCCCTTACTTACAGAAAATCTTGAATCGAACAAGATAGGTGATCGCAACGCTCAAATACGCCATCTGGAGAGAAGACTTCTCCTCTTTTCAGTTGTATAGGAATGTACTACAATATTTTAAATTTTTCTTAATATTTTTCATTTTTAATTAATAAAAATATTTTTTTAAATTTTCCATGTGCTTTCTTTTAGAACTGTGTTTAACGTAGTATTCAGTCCCATCTAGTTTCCCGACTTAAAATTTTTTTATCTGTATGAAAATCAAGACAGAGACTAACATACTTCCTTCTTCTATGATTCTCCACACGCTAATGGTGAAAGCATGCGAAATGTTGCCATAGGTGGAGAGTTCTGCTCTACGCCACCTGTAGCCCATTTCGAACACCAATTGTTAGTTAAGATTCAAATATTTACCGTTTTGGTTATTTTTTCCCTTTCTAAATAGTTCTGTTGCTTTCATGACATAATTGTTTAAACAATTTATGTCAAAATTATGATTGAATTTAAAATTTCAGCGTAAAATAAACTTTTTTGTTTTAAATGTTATTAGCTTACATTTCACTAGCTAAAGAAATTTTGAAACGATCCAGTGAACTCTCACTTATGCACCGGTGTAAGGGGCCAAGAGAAAAAAGCGCATAAGTGAAAAACTTCAAGATTCTAAAACGCAACGTAAATTGCAATGACAATATTAATAAATATGTTTCTAAAGATTAGATGCTAATATTTATACTGTTATGATATTTACTTTAATTATACAAAGAAAAAATTTAACATACCTTAAGACAATTTATTTTCTTACAAAATAATCTTAATACATGTTTGTATTTGTTTTTGCCGACGTTATTCAAAAACAGTTTTTTCCAGTTCATATAAATGGTATAAGAGGGAATTTCAGAAGCAAAATTAAATTGTAAATAGTCAGGAATAGTGTCTAAAGCTTTCAATACTGCTGTGTGATTTGGAGGAACTTTATCATCTCGTCAGTATCATCCACCACGTTCTCATCGTTCACAAGTTTTAGTTAGATATAAATGAACAGTTCTTCACAAAAAATTTGAGTTTTATGGGAGGGGGTGAAACATCACATGATAAATTTCTAAGAAAAGTACTT